TTCTTAACATATATTTTTTATAATCAATTTAGGCTTATTCTTGGCTATCATGATACACGAGATAAAATTTCCCTTTATTCTAAAGGTTCTGGAGGTCTCGATGAACTTCGTAATAATCTTAGAGAGGAAGTGCTTTATGGTTTCCTTAGAATTGAAAACAGATTCGTCTTGCTTACTTATGTTAGCGAAGCAGTAAGGTATATTTAATTTATAAATATATTAAATACATTGAAAAAAATATACATACATATATATATATCCTTTAATATCCTTTATTAATTTTAAATAAACTATATGAAATTAAAATCTATAGTGGTGTACGAAGAGGTAATTATTTAAGCAAATTTTAACAAAGTATTTATTTATTCCTATATAAATTAATTGTCAATGGTTTTTTTTTTATTTGAATGATAGCCCGCGCGTTGGTCCACGGCAGAGCCGTTGGTGCATTATTCAAGGTATGTTGCATATATCAACTAGATTTATTTAATAATATGCTTGGAATCCTGAAATGTTTGAACGCTTTCTTTATTGTCAAGCAGGCACATCAAATTCAGATTAATGCTTCCACCCCAAATGACCTTACGGAAGCTAATGTCCGTAATAGATTGAAATTAGGTGAACCAGCTGAAAGACCAAATTCTCCTCCAGGTCCGAAGCGTAGTCAAACTCTTCCCGGTACTCCACCGGCTGGAAGCCCTGTTCAACCTCAAGTTCCTGTGTCTCCTGTTTCTCCTAAACAACAACCTCAACCTGACTCAGGAAATGATGAAGCTCTCTTAAAACAAGAATCTGAAAGACGCGCTGCTGAAGACGCTGAAAGACTAGCGCGTGAAAAAGGTGAACGTGATGCTGTTGCCCAAAGAAAAGTGGCTGAACAAGTTGCTAGGGAGGCCGCTCAAAGGAGAGCTGCTGAAGAGGCTGAAAAAAAGAAACAAGAAGCAGCTGACCAAGAAAGAAGAGAAAAGGCTGCTGCAGAAGCAAAAGCTAAAGCAGAACTTGAACGTAAAAATCGTGAAGAAGCTGAGCGAAAACGTAACGAAGAACTTAGAAATAAATTTGCTGAATTGGAAAAGAGTGGCAAGGTGACTACTATTTCATCGATTGGTCTTTTTTTTTTTTTTGCATATTTAAATTATTATTATTTTTCTTTTTTAGGTTACATTAAGTGGATACATTACTGTTCAGGGTGGTGGTGTTTATGTACGTAATTTACATTATTATTCTATTATATCTGCATAATAAATATTGAACCTTTTAGCTTACACATTCATTTCGTCATTATGATAAAATCTAAAATTGGTTAAACCTGTTTAAATAAATACCACAATAACCAGTTCTGGAAACGTCGTTTCTTTGAACTTCGCGGCAAGACACTCTACCTTTTCCGAGATGAAACTGATAAGCTTCCCATTTCCAAACTTGAACTTGATGGTCAAGTCACTGGCGTAACAGATGCACAATCTGAAGTATTAATACTTAATTCCTTTAAAGGGAAATTTTATCTCGTGTATCATGATAGCCAAGAATAAGCCTAAATTGATTATAAAAAATATATGTTAAGAA